CCCCCTGCCATGGGCAGGGCCAACTTCCACTAGACCAGCTTGCTCCAAGCCCCATCCAACCTGGCCTTGAACACCTCCAGGGATGGGGCAGCCACAGCTTCTCAGGGCAACCTGCCCCAGGGGCTCACCACCAGCCTCTCTGAACTCCCCCTGCGCTGCTCCATTTTTGGGGCCATCCATCATCCAGAGGGGCACCGAGCAAGAGAAAAATCCCCATTTAACTCCAGCAGAGCACTCAGAGACTTTTTTTTCCTGCTGCAGAGCAACGCATCCCCTCGCATTTACTTTTTTCTCAGGGCAGTGCCCATCCGCCCAACCCCCTGAAGAGAGCAGCCCAGCTTGCAAATCTTTCCCGAATCCGAATCCGTCTGAGCAGCTGTTTTTAACTCGGGGAGCAGAAAGGCGGGGGTGGATGGGTTGCCCGTCATCTGATGTTTGCCATCTGCACAATGCTATCTTCTGTAAACACGGCAGCTAACGAGCGCGCTGCAATCGGCAGCCTGGGTTTGGTTTTTTTGGGTTTTTTTTTTTTTTTTTTGATGCTAGAAATCGCCACGGGATTAATCGGGGAAAAGAAAACCAGCTTCATGCGCACTCCGTGCTGGGTTCAGACGTGGGGCTCGAGTCTCCTTCCAGCCCCGTGTTCCCCCCACGCACACACTGCTGAAGTCGGTCGAGCTGCACGGGTGTAAGCCAGCGCAGCAGCTTGGTGGGGGGGAATATTTGCCATTCCCTTACCCGGGGTGAAGCTCTCACTGCTCAGCCCAGGGCCACGAGTTTCACTCCCCCCCGCCCCGGTGCCGTCCACACCGCTTTAACGTTGCTCCCCGCTCCGTTACAGCGGGTTTTGCCTACTTAATGGCATCGGGAGCTGCTTTTCCTCCCTGACTTTGATTTTCCAGGGCGCAGGGGAGGAGTGTAGAGTTCCAGCCCAGAAAGTCCTCCCCGTTTCCCACACGGCGTCGCGCAGCTCCCCACCGCCTCTCGCCGCCCACCTTCACCGTCGCCCCGCTCCCGTCCTCGTCCCCCCTCTTCACTTTATCTCTCTGTCTGTGGAAACAAGTGAGTATTTGCCTTTTTTCTGCCCGGTGGCACGACTCTCCCCGCTGCTGTGTCGCTGGAAGGGAGGGATGGGGCTGGGGGACGGGCAGAGACTTGACCTGCTCAAGTTCGCTTTGCAGATGAGCTCAGGCGAGAAGCATTTCCGAGGCTGTGCCGGGTTACGTAGCGGCTCCTCTGCAGCAGAGGGCCAACCCCCTCTAGCTTCTCCCTCCTGCCTGTTGTTTGCCATCAGGACTTTTAGCAAAGCAAGACTGATGGCAGCTGATCTTAGCGAAGGTCCTGCCACGGGGGCTTTCTCCTGCAGCCCCAGCAGAGAGCTGCTGCCGCTTGGCTTGAGTCGCAGGAGATGGCATTTTGGCCAGAGGAGACGCTGAGAAAGGGAAGGAGGTGACGGCTGCTTTGGGGAAGGGTCCTGAGGAGGTGGGAAAGCTGCTCAAGCAGGTCAAGGGCAGCATCTGGGTCTCCTGACACCTCTCTGCTTGGTGGAAAGGCGTCTCCCAAAGTTTGCAGGCTTATGGATGGGCAGGAGGGCAGAGGGACGCTGGCACTTGGGGCACCTTTAGGCGTTGCAGGGAGCGAAGAAAGCTTGAGGAGCTCAGGAAGGTGAGGAAGTCCCCAGGGTGGCGGTGGGGGAGCAGGAAACAAAGAGATGAGGATGGCAGAGAAAAGGACCACGCGACAGCCTGATCCAGCAGCCGTGAGCTGGGATGGCAAACACACCGCCTGCCAGCCTGGAAAAGGAAAAGCCATTGCACTTTCTGAGACCCAGCTCGTCGCTGGAGTTGTTTTCTGCACAGCGGAGTGGAAATGGTGCCGGTGACCACCTCCAACTCCAAGCTCGGCTGGGTGGTAGTAGCTGCTACCTCTGTGATGGACCTGCACCCCTCGAGGGCCAACATCATCATCCAGTGGGCAAAATCTCCATCCCAGCGAAGGAATGCCAACAGTTCCCTTGGGGGTGACGATAAAGATGGCTTTTGCCACCAGCTCCATCGCATCAGCTGACGTTGCGTTACGTTGCAGCGTGGAAGTCAAAACACTTAGTGCTGTACACCAGCTCCGAACCTGTCCCGGGCAAACGCAAGTCGGAACCGAAAAGGAGACATAAATCTCCAGATTGTTCCCACCTTGCCTAATGCGGTGGTTTTACTGTGCCAACATCCCACTGAAGCCGTAATTGCACTGTCTGAGACCTTATATATGTGTGTATATATATATAATTTTGTAAGAAATGGAAGGGAAATTCCAGCAGGCTCCAGCACCCATGAGCGTGCCCGGAGCAAGTGATGGGGCAGGTCGGCGTTGACCAACCAGGTGAAACGCGGCGTGAAGGCCCTGTTAATATTAACGAGGTTGTGCAACCCGGCCTTACCCCCTGGGGTATGCGGTAGGTAGTTCGTTAGGGGAATTTTAATGAGTGGTCCCTGCAAAGCCCTTCTCTTTAGGAGGGGTTCATTCAGGCAACAAAACCTCACCTGCAGGGGACCGTGCATCATTACCCAACGGCTCTGTATAACATGTGGCTATGGGTCAGGGCTATACCTACACCTGTATATACACATGCGTGTGTATATATATATGTATATATACGTACCCTTGACTTTTCCCGATGCAATGAACTGGGTTGTTTGACGTTGCGGTGCTGCTAATGGTATAGATCCCAGCAGTAGCGATAACGATCTTTGCTGGCCGTACAAGCCTGGAAGGGAAGGAGCTGGCTGATCTGGTATTTTCAGGTAGGCACCAAAAAAAAACCCCAAAAAACAAACCTATGAGCAAATCCTCGAGGGAAACCGTGGTTAACTACCATGTCACACTCATCCGTAGCCATTCCCACTGGCTTTTGTGCCTTCTCTGCGACCTCGTCCTAGGTTAGCTGCAGCCCTGAGTCGATGCTTTCCTGTCTCCCGCTGCACGGAGGCAGGGGAATAAGAGAGAAGAGGGTGAGAGGGAAGAGGGGGTCGGGTAAAATTGATGCAGAGCCAAAAAGGGGTTAAAAGAGCCGCTCAGGTTGATGCAGACTGGTTCAGAGCAGTCATTGACCCCTCTTTACATGCCAGGGAGAGGTCCCAGTGGGAGATGGCACTACAGGCAAAAAGGTATTTAGGTGCCTGACAAGGTGATTGAGCAGACTAGAGAGAGGCAGAGATGGAGACGTGAAGGGGCTTGTGCGGGGCAGGAGGAGACCCTCTGCCTCTGAGAGCAGGAGAGGAGGACTTTGCGGGGTTTGGAATAGGTTGGAACGCTGCTGAGGTGGCCTGAGAGCAAGGCAGCATCGCAAGGAGGCGAGAAGCACCGGGCAGAGGAAGCAACCCCGGCAGCGAGGGTAGCAGACACCCTGGGGTAGGGGTGGGAAAACAGTCCCAGGGGGTGGAAAAAACAGTCCCGGGGGTGGCAAACCAGTCGCAGGGGGGTTGAAAACACTCACGGGCTTGCAGGTGTCACCGGCTGCGGTATCCGCATCAACCGGCTCCACCCTGTGCCACTCCGGATAACTCCTGGGAAACGCTGGGGTTGCTCCAGCATCCAAAAAAAAAAAGAAAAAAAGAATACACGAGGACACGTGCAGGCAGGACAGAAAGCGTCTCCGCTAGGCTGTGGGTTGGGACCCCCTGCGTGCAGGGTGGTCTCAGCCCAGCAGCCCCTTGCCCGTCCCACCATGGCCCCGCACGGCCGGTGGGACGGAGCCTCGGAGCCTCCCACTTGCAAACAGCATTTTGAGGACTGAAATTATGGCCAAAAAAGAAAAAAAAAAGCTGATTTGGGCACTCTTTCTGCTGCAAACGGGCAGGGTTAACTGCTTCCCCCTCTTCCTCTGGGTTAAGAGAGGAGAACCAAGGAAAGTTCGGCTTTCTCGCACCGTGCCCGCAGTTACTCAGCGTCTCCCCGGGTTACCTTGACCCTGTTTGTCCCCGTCCCGGGAGGACAGAAGTAGCGGCGGGTTGCGCAGGAGACGCGTGCAGGGCGGTGGGGTGGCTGTAACCACTGTACACAGCACACCCAGCGACGCACCGCCACCGGCTCCGCTCCACCTCCCGCGGCGCTCAGCCTCCGCCGCAGCCCCAACC